ACGGAGTCTCGCTTTTCGATCACACGTCCGGCGCCTCTGTTGCACCTGATGCCACTGCTGACAGTACGGTTCGCTCGCAGTGGACTACTCGTGACGATGTTGCTCGCCTTGCTGTTCGTAGTCACCTGCCGTCTGCTGAGCGCGCGCACTTTGGGCAGTACAAGACTGCTAAGTCTTTGTATGACGCTGTCGTCGCACGCTACTCCTCCCCTGCCACTGCTGCCCTCAGCCACCTAATGTTGCCGTACTTGTTCCCTGACCTAGCCGCCTTTGCCACAGTCGCTGACCTCATCACTCACCTCCGCACTAGCCACACCCGCTACAGCGCTGCGCTTCCCTCCGAGTTTCGCGCCAAGCCCCCCCCCCCCCATGTACATCACCCTCTTCTACCTCGTCACCTGTCTCCCTGACTCTCTTCGCTCAGTCAGGGACCACTTTCTCTCCCTTTGCCCCACCGAGCTCACCGTCGACCTGCTCGAGGAGCGCCTCACTGCAGCTGAGACTAGCATAGTCGCTGTAGGAGCTTCTCGTGGTGACCCTCGCGCCCCTTTCTTTGAGGGGTGTTCCCCCGTTCCCCTTTTGCCCTCTGTTGCTTCTGCTGCTGCTGTCGACCTCGTTGGCACCAAGGAGGTCGGGGTTGCGTCTGCTCCTAGTGGGAGGCGCTGCAGCGGCGAGGGCAAGGGGGGCAAGGGCGGTGGAGGGGACGGCGGGGGCGGCGGTGGTGGCGGTGGAGGAGGCGGAGGGTGAGCGTGCTCTTGGCACGTACGTCCTTGAGGACAGGCAGGAGGACTTTGAGTGTTTTGCAGCTGCTGTACCTCATCGCGTGTCCATGCTGATTGCACCTGAGGGAGACCCGGATGCACCAGACATCCCGACCCCGCGCTCTTACGCAGAGGCGATAGAGGGTCCCTACTCCTCTCAGTGGCAGTCAGCCATGGACACAGAGATGGCATCCTGGAAGTCCACAGGCACTTACGTCGACGAGGTTCCCCCTCCTGGGGCGAACATCATCAGTGGCATGTGGATTTTCAGGGTGAAGCGGCCGCCGGGTTCTCCGCCTGTCTTCAAGGCGCGTTACGTTGCACGAGGCTTCAGTCAGTGACAGGGAGTTGACTTCTTCCAGACCTTCTCCCCGACCCCGAAGATGACCACTCTTCGGGTTCTGCTGCACGTCACCGCTCAGCATGACTACGAGCTTCACTCTCTTGACTTCAGCACTGCTTTTCTACAGGGCAGCCTGCACGAGGAGATCTGGCTGCGCCGCCCACCTGGCTTCACTGGGTCGTTTCCTGCAGGTACCCAGTGGAGCCTCCGGCGGCCAGTCTACGGTCTCCGCCAGGCGCCTCGCGAGTGGCACGACGCACTGAGGACGACTCTTGCGGCTCTTGGGTTTGCTCCTTCTACTGCTGACACGTCGCTGTTTCTGCGCACCGACACTTCGTTGCCGCCGTTCTACATCCTCGTGTACGTCGACGACTTGGTCTTTGCTACTGCTGACACTGCTGGACTGGCCCTAGTGAAGTCGGAGCTGCAGAAGAGACACACGTGCACAGACTTGGGTGAGCTGCGCAGCTATCTTGGCTTGCAGATCACCCGGGATAGAGCACGGCGCACCATTACCTTGACTCAGTCACACATGGTGCAGCAGGTCCTTCAGTGCTTCGACTTCTAGTACTCCTCGCCACAGTCCACTCCTCTGCCTACCGGTCTATCGCTCTCAGCTCTGCCTTCGGATGAGTCCGTAGAGCCGAGTGGCCCGTATCCAGAGCTTGTGGGCTGCCTCATGTACCTGATGACCTGCACTCGACCTGACCTTGCTTACCCTCTTAGCATCCTGGCACGCTACGTTGCACCCGGGAGACACTGACCAGAGCACTGGAAGGCCGCTAAGAGGGTGATGCGCTACTTGTGCTGTACGTCGAGCATGGGGCTCGTGCTTGGGGGACGGGGTCCAGTTGTCCTCACTGGTCACGGAGACGCGTCTTGGGTTGACGACTTGGCTACGCAGCGGTCGTCACAGGGTTACACCTTCAGCCTTGGCTCCGGTTCTGTTTTGTGGCGGTCTACCCGCTCGTCTTCTGTTCTCAGCTCCAGCTGTGAGGCTGAGATCTACGTAGGGGCCATGGCTGCACAGGAGTTACGCTGGCTCACCTACCTGCAGACCGACTTGGGAGAGGTGCCTCGTTCTCCTCCAGTTCTGTACGTCGACAACAAGGCCATGATTGCCTTGTGTCAGGAGCACAGACTGGAGCATAGAACGAAGCACATTGCTCTTCGCTACTTCCTTGCTCGAGAGTTGCAGCAGCGTGGTCAGCTTCGTCTTGTTTACGTGGCCTCTCAGGCCAACACTGCTGATATCTTCACCAAGGCACTTCAGCCTTGTGATCATCAGCGTTTCTGTACTGTTCTAGGCCTTGTGCCTTGTTGGCCTCACTTGCTCACTTCTTGACTTCGCTTGTACTGTGATCTATATAATTATACTTGCATGCTTACACTTGCTAGGTTGTTATCACTGTACTGCTTGTTCTTCTTTATATATAACTCTGCATGTGAACTGGCCTTGTGGCCATTTGCTTGTGCTCGGACTGCGTGACCTTGCCTTGTTCTCTTCCTTGTCCCCCACTTTGCCTATGGGGGTGTGTCAGAACTATGCATTTATATGTTGTAGGCTATAGTGGGGCACTCCTTATGGGGTACAGCCAAATTAGGTTTTGCATATACAAACCCTGTACTGCTGTCATTCTAGTCATTCTTGATTCCTACTTTCTGACATGGAAATGAGCAGCTCATGGCTTCGTCCATCCGTCGCGGTTCTTTCTTGCAAAGTTTCTTTGATAATCCGTCTGACACCTAGCCTGTTTGACAGTGATGCGTGTGGTCTCTAGATACTTGGGCCCACTCAAGCTTTGATGACCACCTTAAGTGTAACGTAGATCGCAAAACCATGGTCTTATACCTTATCCGCCGGTGCGATGTGTGACAGTGAGTAAAAGGTATATTTGCGACTCTGTGGGTATAAGATGCAATAGGCATCAGATGGCTGAAAAGCACTGCATTGATTAAACAGTCTGTCATTTTTTGCTGATGTTCCGTGTCCTGAGGTTCTATTTAAGTCTGGATCTTCCACCATATTCAGATTACCAATCATAAGCAGGTGGGCGAGAAGGGCCAAGGGCCAATGACTGCTTCCTCGTCTACTACCTTGTCGAGGGAGTTAAGCACGAAGGGGATCCTGGAGGCAAGATCAACTGGGAGGTAAACGGCAAGCAGGGTGAGTTGGATGCCATGACTGTTGACATCCGTGTGTATGATTCTACCTTATGAGTGAGTTGAATTGGAGAAGCTTAAGGATGGGTATCTACAACGGATGGCAAAGCCTCTGAATTTCGCCCTTGGGGTGGCTGCTACTAGTGTCATGAATCTCGATAAGAACCAGTATGGGTGAGTGTCATCTAGTCTAGTGTTTGATAAATCTACGATGCCTGCCGCATCCTTTAACTAGTCTGTAACCATGTCTTGCTTTGCACAACATCCTGCCACCAGTGCGAGGGTACTAGTCATATCCCTAAGTCTTTCTTCATAAACGCAAGGTTGGTCTTCTCTAGTGAGCTTTTGGTGGCTGATCCCACTTTTTCCAGGTGGATGAGATAACAGTGGAGGCGACGTGATCTGATGCCGACATAAAGCACTTTCCGTGGGATTTCTTGTAGCCTACCTGTGTATGCATAGCCACTCCTCCCTGATGCTCCCCATTGAAATCAGAGCTTTGGTTAGGTCTTGCAGGAGGGGGAGGACTAGCGGGGTGGCTAGCAGGGACGCAGCTATGAGTATCAATCAACACGTCAGTAAGCGAAAAAAGAGGTTAGAGCCAAACAATAAGAAGCTGATGCGAATGGGTTTTATCATTAAGCCTGTGGACCTTCCCTAGGGTGAGGTTCTATTTCCCTACGTTATTTTTACGTTTAGTGATGAAAGCATCATGATACTTATCATAATGCTAACCACCGAAGAGTGTGCAAGATAGCGCAGGGTGATGGACCAAGATCTTCTTCGCGCGGTCGGCCAGATCGGTGATCACATGCAGCCAGTGGTGCTTGTCACCAGGGTGAGCGTAGACCTGACCCTTGATGACGTCGGTGTCAGCATTGGTTACGGGATGCAGCACGCGATGGAATCAGGAACAACGCAAGAAGGCCAGTTTCTGGCGGCTTGTCAGTGGGTACACCGCCATCCTTCTAGTAAGCATGTCCAGCTCCACGGTTGCAGAAACTCCTTTGAAAATTACTTCAATGGCGTGAGGGAGCAGAGTCTTCCATGTGCTGCCAGTGGAGCTTCACCATGTTGCCATTCAGTCGCTGATAAACAACCTCCTTGCTTTTCACCCATTCTGCATCAGATTCTATGATGAAGTAAATCTGGAAATGGCAGTAACGGGTCTTGGCGATATACGTCGGCTGCAACTCCTGGAACTTCGCCAACGTTAACACTTCAGCTGATAACTTTGCATTCCACCCCTGCTTCATCAACATTTTGACAGCATCAATGATACAGGCAACCTCTTGAGCAAGAACAAACGGAATGAGCAGAATGTCGGTAGTACGCAGCCTGGACATAGCCTCCATGTCCAGATCCATTTCCATCTCATCGTCGGAGTCTTCAATGAAGCCATCGTCATCAACTGGCTTATCCGCCACTGACAAGCCAGAGCTTCCCTCAAAGCCTTGTCCTTGCTGAAAGGTATGTTAACACCATTGCTCCCTTATGCTTTATCCCCAACAGGAACTTCCAGAGGAGTAGTGTCCCCATTGACCACTGGGAGTTCACCACCTGGCTTGGAGCGCGGGCCCTTAGGATACGTCCTTGTGCGATGATGAAAATCAGGCAGAGTAATGACGTGCTGAGCGCACAAACCGTGAAGCACCGGCTTTTACAACAACAAACTAAAATGTATTTATTAAGACTATTAGAAGACAAGCTCCCAAGGTTTATTCCCAAGATAGATGCACTCTATTCGTCTCTCGTTCCCTCTCATCCTCTTCCATCCTCTCCCATCCCCCCTCCACGCCCTATTCCATTCCCAATCCCTCTCCTCCACTTCCATCCTCTCTCATCCCCTCACCTGCCCTCTATTCCCCTCTCGTTCACTCTCATCCTCTCTCATCTGCTCTCGTCCCCTCTCCACGCCCCATTCCTCTCTCATTCCTCCTCTTCCCCTTCCATGTTTTTTCATCCACTGTCCTGGCCTTTATTCCTCGTCTTTCAGCCCTTTAAAGGCTCATTCTTCCCCTGTCATCCCTCTCCTGCCTTCTATTCCCCTCCCATACCGTCTCCTATCCTTTCAGCCCCTTTAATCCCCTTTCATCCCCAGTCATCCTTCTCGTCCCCTCTCGTCCTCTCCCATTCAGGGTTCTGCCCTCATTCCACTCTCCACATACATCCTCTTTCATCCTCTCTCGACCGTACTCATCCCCTCTCATCCCCTTTCCTCCTTTCCCGTACCCTCACATGCCTTCTATCCCCCTTTCATTCCCTCTCATCCCCTCTCGTCCTCTCTCGCCCCCTCTCCAGGCCCTCTCCTCTCAGTCCCTCTCGTCCTCTCTCGTACACTCTCCTGCCCTCTGATCCACTCACTATCCCTCTCATCATCTCTCATCCCCTCTCACCCCCTTTTACTCCCCTCATTTTCACTTGCTTCACTTCTCATTCCTGTTCATCCTTTCTCTTCCTCTCTCCTGCCATATATGCCCCTCACTTTCCTGCTCATTTCCCTCTCCTCCCCTTTCATTCCCTTCCACCCCCGCTCATCCACTCGCCTGTCACTCACTTTCATCATTTTTTGTACCGTCCCCTGCTTTCTATTCCCCTCTCATTTGTTGGAAACATATAGTTCGCGCTTCTGATGTGTCAAGCACTACAACGAAAGCAAAGCGAACTGAAGCGAAGCAACAGCGAGTCAACCAAAGCGGTTGACAGAGAGACAACAGCAAGAGGTTGAGTGAAGGTCAAAGGTCAGCGACCTTTGACTCGCCAAAGGCAGTGTGACAGCAAGGACACATAACTGACTCGATATTGAGCAGTTACCCAAGTCGTCGCTGTATCGAACCGCAACAGCAGTTACAGTTAGTTAAAACCTTTCGTATTCCTTGTAATCATATAAAAATGTGTATCTCTTTGTTATTATCAACTTATCTTGTTCTCACATACCAGTGCAAGGTGGTTCAATCAAGTTCACTAATACACTTCCGCTAATACATCACTACTCTGAGTCTTTAGACTTGAAAACGATCCTAAGGGCTTTTCTTAGCCCAACATCATTCTCTCTTATCCCCCTTCATCCTCTCTCATTCCCCTCTCCTGCCCTCCCCTCTCATTCCCTCCTATCCCCATTCATCCATGCCCTCACATTCCCTCTCATCTTCATGCATCCCCTCTCCTGACCTCTATTTCCCTCTCTCTTATCCCCTTTCTTCCTCTCTCATTCCGTCAGAAAACTCGATACAGTGACTGTACGCGTTACTTTTTTTACCAGAATCGTTATCGAGTCCCATGTTTCTTACTAATGGCATATTTTCCCCGAATCTCAACCCCACAGCACAGAAAAGTGTGATTAAAAAGCAATATGCGTTACACATTATTACATGCAGGAAAATACTAATTTCTTCTACCGTAAATGCCACCACCATCCACTCTCAAGCACTGAAGAAAAGGAAAACTTGAGTACAGACTTTTAGGCAGCGTCTTCAGCTTGGCGCAATTCATGAGGTCCAGCTGAGTTATCGATGTGAACCTCCATACGAAATGCGGCACACACGTTAAATCTTCTGCAAAGATCTGCAGCCTTCGGAGGTTGGGGGGGCACGACACCGTTCCGTCAATCATCCCAGCATAGCTGTTGAAAATGCCATTGAAGCGGAGGGTGTGCAGCGAAAGAAACTGCGAGAGGGAAGAGAGAGAAGCTCCCGAGTTGACGTACATGCCAATAACCAGCACTTCAAGCTTGGGCAGAACGGGAAGAGGGGAGGAGCGAGGAAGCGAGTCCGAATACAAGACCTGGAGGTTCGGACAATGCAGCAGCAGCTGGTGTCGGAAATTCCTTACAAGTGACCCCATCCGTGCCAGCTTCCCCAGGTGTTTCTTCAGGTGTTCTCCATGCCAGGTTCGCACATCCCTCACCTCCAGAAGCACCAGATTAGGAAAAAAACACGCGCTACCACCATCCCCAAGAGCAGAACCCCTCCCGGCACTTATGTAAACACCAGAGAGCTTAAGCACCTTGAGATTGGCCGACGCGAGGGCAGGAAGGTCCAGGCGGACGGTTTGGGGGAGGAAGGAGGGAGCGACAGCTGGCGAGGGGGTGACAGAGAGGACTGTGAGGGAGGAGGGCAGGGAGGCGCCGCTTCGCATTGCTGCTACCAGCAAGTCTCCATCCACCTCCAGTTCCGCAATCCGCCTCCCCTCGTCCGCCCCCTCACTTGCCTCCTCACCTGCTGCAAGGGCAGCAGGGGCAGCAGGGACAGCAGTCGCAGCAGGAGCAGCAGGAGTAGCAGCAGGAGTGGCAGCAGGAGCAGCAGCAGGAGCAGCAGGATGGGCAGGATGAGCAGCAGGGCCAATGAGCTGGTGTGCTTTCAGCACTGCCACTGTGCCTCGAGACATGCGTAGCTGCTCCAGCTGCTGGGTACTGTTCATCTGCTCGCCCCCCTGCTGTCCGCGCTGCAGCAGCAGCTGCTGCTGTTGCCCCTCCTCTTGCTGCTGTTGCTCTACCCCATCGATCTCTACCCCAATCCTCCCAGCCTCGGGGTGGTTTCCACCAAGAGCCGCCATCATCAGTCCCGGTACCGGGTGACCCAGCAGCTGCACACATGACAAATGCCGCAACCCGGACACGCCTGCCACGTAAGCATGCCTCTGCATGCCCGGGTGAAACGCAGGGTTGCGGATGGAGAGGGAGCGGAGAGCGGTTAGTTCCCATAACGAAAGTGGCAGGTGTGCCATAAACGGGAGGGTGAGAGAGAGGGAGGTGAGGGACTCTTGAAGCCCGGAAAACATGTTTTCGTATAGCCTGGGAACTGGGTAAGCTTTTGACCAATCAGGACCCAGCTGAAGCTCCAGATGTGATAGTAGCGAGAGGTGACTGAACGGGGCGGAGGAGCAGGTGACGGGGCAAGAGGGGTCTGACACGTGGAGGGTGAGGGATTTGAGAGACGGGATGGAGGGGAGGAGGGAGGGAGGGATGGTTTTTAATGAGAGTGAGAGGTGGGTGAGGCGGGATAAGAGAGGGATGATGGTTAGAGGGAGGTGAATGGTGGTTGGGGAGTCGTTGTGGGAAGGCGGGAGGTCGAAGGATGGAGCAAAGTGTAGACAGGGGAAGGAGGAGGAAGAGGAGGAGGAGGTGGAGGAGGAAGAGGAGGAAGAGGGGGAGGAGTTGGAGCTGAGGATGTGGAGGGAAGTGAGGTGTGAGCATCGTTGGAGCAATAGCATGAGACCGTGAAATGAATCTGGATGGTATACTGGGTTTTGGGTGTTGCCAGTACTTTCTGAATCCCCAATGTTGTCAGTCGGGCTTTGATCGTCCTCGGCAGCGGCATTGAAGATTCGGTCTCTGCGATTGGAGGGGAGAGTGACTATATCAGGAGGTTGGGAACGTGTGCCTGTGACCTGTAACAGGTGTCGTCGGGCCGTTCTGCCGCCTTCCACCTGCCGGCCCAACTGGATGTGACAATGGCGAAGGGACGGGCAGCAGCTGGCAACGACGTTGCAGACGGCATCGATATAGTCACATCCTGTGCCAGTGCCCTCCCCCTGGGAGGGGCCAGCGCCAAGATGTGACAGAAATGGGAGGTGGAGGAATGTGAGCTCTGAAAAGCTTCGCAGCAATGAAGCAACACGAAACAGATTCCAGCATCTGGTACTCGGAGGTGTATCGAGTCGAAGCACGTCTTGTAACGAGGATAACGCCAAGGAGCGTGGGGCCAACGAATCGAATCTGCCGCCAAGCGCTTCCAGGGAAGGCAGAGAAGCTGATGCTTCGTTATAAGCAGCCGCAGCATCCGACGAGATGTCGGCTCTAGCCGGTGCCGGTTTGAACGATGAAAGCGACATTTGAAGCTCGTCCAAGCAGCATCTCGCGTCCCGGCCATCCAGGGGGGAATCGAATCCTCCCTCTGCCGCAGCAGACCAGGTGAGATTCAGCCGCTGATTCAGTGAATCTGGACGAATGTTCCGGAACTGGCCGACGGGAAGCTGACTGAACAGAGACTGCCGGAGCAGCGACTGCCTGAATAGAGACTGTCTGAGCAACGGCTCCCACTCCAGCGAAAGCGGGTTCAGTGCGAGTGACATGTGGAAGACTGACGGGCGAACGACGACCCTGTAGCAGCGCCACCACGAGCGACACGTGGCGCCTGCTCGTGCCACGTGCGCGGCGTTCGTTAGTAGGGAGAGGATTCGCGCGAGGCAGTCGATGGGGAGGCCCTGAGCGCCAGACGCGCGCTGGACCTGAACAGCAGTCGCCGGCGGCGATTTTTCTGCAGGCGTGCTTTGAGTCGATTCACGATGCGGCGGCGCAAGGCAATCGATGGGGAGGGCCTGCGCGCCGGACGCGCGCTGGACTTGAATAGCAGTCGACGCAGGTGATCGGTCACTCTTCATACCCGCCGCGCGCTGGACTTGAACAGCAGACGGCACCGACGATCGCTCAGCAGGTGTGTTTTGAATCGAGCCGCAACGCACGAGGCAGTCGCTGGGGAGTGTCTGAGCGCCGCCGGAAGCTCGGACTTGAATAGCAGGTCCCTCTTCTTCCGTAATACCATCACGGCTCGATAGCAGTGCCGATTTCACTTGAACAGCAGTCGCCGCCGGCGGTTGCTCACCCTGCGTACCGGTGTGAGCTCGCATCAGTTGCTCTTCCTCCATCGTACCGTCACGGTTCAATAGCAGTGGCGGTTCCACTGGTGATGAGCAGATCTCAGTCGCAGCCATCCGTCTGTTTGATGTCAGAGCCACACCGTATGTTGAAACTAGCGATGGCTTTCAGTGATATCAGAGGTGCATGGGTGCAATGGTTGGTAGCTCCATGTTTCTGACACGCACATTCTGGAGTGGTCGTCGCAAATGTTTTATATTTCTTCGGACAACACGTTTTTCCAGCCAGCAGAAAAATACCGTCTCGTTCAGAATGGCATTCTTGGGAAGCGGATGATTCAGAAAGAATGTCGGACAGAATGACGGGCGGAATGACGGCCGGAACGATTGAATCCAAGAACATTGCTGTATTTGAATGGTTTGGTTGTGATGTGATGAGTTGTAAGTCGTGACTGACTTGTGACAGAAGAGAGGAGAGGATCATACCGGAGAGAAGCAGAAACAGTCCCGAGAGTTCCGTCCCGGCGGAAACTTCCATGGCCGCAGAGCGCTTCGGGGAGAGAGACTGATGGTTATCATAAGACCCGATTCAACCGCGGATGAATATGTTCAACCGTTTTGAATCGCCTTGAAGCGCGCGGACATACGATGAAGGGTGCAACGTCAGCTGTCACTCCAACAATGTTTTCAGAGCGGTCTGCTATGGTTAAATCACACTGGGTATGGTTTCACGAGTTTTACTGACGTGTAGTCATCGCACGAGTTTGGTGGACATGCGGGTTTAGAGGGTGGGTTTAGGTGAGGGGGGTGGGGGGTTTGGTTAGATGGGGCGTATTGTTGGGGTGTCTCGTTGGGGTGTCTCGTTGGGGTGTCTCGTTGGGGGTATCTCGTTGGGGTGTCTTTTGGGGTTCCTTATGTGCTGTTCTACTGGGGTGTTCTTGAGGCTGCGTTTTCCGTTTTTCGTTCGTTTCGTCTTCGCAGCTCATTTCAATTATCAAGGCACATCGTCACTCTTACTTTTCGTGC